TATATCTACTATTGCTACATGAACACTATATATTATATATTTTCAATGCTGTTTACTGGTGTATACATCATTTCCTAACCAGTTTTCATTTAGAATTACAAAAATTTAACAATTCAACTACATCAGAAAAAAATAATCATTTCAAGCTTGAATCTACATATAAAGCAAAACAGTTATAGATTCTTAAATTGTTCCTTTGTAAGAGGCTCAATAATTTCCAGTTCATGCACAATCTCTACCTTTATTTTATATAATCATTTCATCTAAATAGCATCTAAAAGTAGCAAAAAGTATGGCTAATATATGTATCAAATATTTTTGCATATTTTACCTAGTATCAAGATATTTTTCATATTTTTAAATTTCAAAAACTTAAACAAAGAAAATGTAGCATTTCAATGAAATTAAAATACTTTACAAAAAAATATTTAATACTTTCTGCTACAGAAAAGTAAATTAAATTCATTACTAAGCCCACCACTACACAAAATTTCAGTTCAAATTTACAGTCTTACCTGTACTACTTGTTTTGTTTTTTCTAACAGCTTTTTTCTTTTTCTTGACTTTTTGTTGAATTTATTCGACATTGCTACTTCCCTGAAAGTTGGTGTCTCATCCTTTAAAATAATTTCATAATTTTTCTTAGTACAACTACTGATAGCAACATTTAAACTGTTCTATTACATCTGTGTACGAGATTTTTTATTTAACTACCTTTGTCAAAAATTGGTGAAAAAGGAATTAAAAAGAAAAACATTGTTTTAATAATTCTATCAATATTTCAACAGGCTAGCGTAACACAAGATGAGGTCAAATGCAAAATAAAAGAACAATGCAGATGATTATTTAAAAAAAAAGGTTCTTTTAAAGAAGTGGTAAATACTTTAAAAACTATGTTGCTTATAAAACTAATTCAGCTACAGTAGCATACACATTTCTTTATAAGGTTTTGTTAGATTAGGGGTATCAGATAGAAATTATTTCAAAATCAGCAAGTCTTATAAAGTTAAATCTCTTGAAGACTGCAAAATCAAAGTTGAGGTTGTATTGCAGAATAATCTGAGGATTAAAAAATTAAATTTTGACAGAAAAAAAATAAATTTCTATAATCATACCAAAGAATTAAATTTGAGGAATGTAGGGATTTATATAATACTGAAAATAAAACTCTGTAGCCTATGTGGGAACTGAAATGGTAAAATTAAGGGAGCAAAATGTTTTTTGGCATTATTATACATGAGAAATGTACTATTCCAAACTGAAATTCTGGTAGCCTAACTACTTGTTCTTGACTATAATGACTAAAATATTATATATTTCAAATATATACATATCTGTGTTGATAACAATGGCTTATTCCACAGGATTACAAAACTACAATTAATATGAATGCATATCTTTACAAAATTTTGCAGGTTGTTGGTAAACATTACAAGGCTTTTGTACACAAAATATCAGGTTTTTAAATTAAGTAATATGATTTTTAATTAAAACTTTTCTCATAAAATTTCTTTCAGAATGTTGACTATCCAACATACAAAGTAATTTTGATTTTAAGATTAAAAATACTTTCATGCATTAGAACATTTTCAAATTTCACATGCGAAATCTTTATGACCTCTAGATAACTATCAAATTTTTTTTAGAAAAATATTTAATATTCTATTTGTTATTTTCACTACTGTATCTCTATACAGGTTGATCGATCTGACAGACTTTGTAACCTCAATAATAAATTAGGAAATAAATATAAATTATGTTTTTTTCGCTCTAGAATGAATATAAATTATAACATGAAAACACAAATGTTTAGTCTAAATAGCTTAAATTTCATAACATTATACATATATATATATATATTTATTAATTTCATTATATTGACCTTTCAAGTGTTCCTAGCTAACATATTGAAGTTGCAATGACACAGAGTATGTGCACTGATGTCACCAAGTCCAAGAATATAAAACTGGCCTTTACAAAGTAACCTGTCTTGGATGTGTTTTAGTGAACTAGTATGTTGTAAAATACAGTCACATTTCAGTTTGAATAGATTATATTTGTATATACATTATTACTATTTAAAATAAGTTATTAAATTTCAGTTATTTTTCTTAAAACACAGAGCAGTAAATAAAGAATTATAGAAAATAATTAACTCTTCTAGTTAAGAACTCCGAACACTTTTGTTGCTTGCTGT